ACTCTTTTAAAATGGAACTAAAATGATCCACAAGAAGCCTAACTCATTAATATAACCCCAAAAGAATTGATTTGTGAAAAGACCAAAATGCCCTTAAATTTCCGGACGGACTCCCTGCCAACTGCCCAACTTTCAATGGTCATAACTCGCTCATACGAAATCGGAATCGAGCAAACTCGGTGCCGTTGGAAAGATCGTTCCACAAGCTTCACAACCATAATTTGAACTACTCCTAACTCATCCTGAGCTAGGAGTTACGACTGCTCAAAGTTGGCCAAAAATCACTGATTTCCACACTTAGCCAAATTTTCCAGATTTTGATTTTTTCCAAATTTCCAGATTCTGGACTTAGCCAAATTTCCAAATTCTGATTTTTTCCAAAAATGACTACTTCCAATTTCAAGCTTCTTCATATTCATTTTAAATTGTCGGATGTTACAATATCTCCCCCTTAGGAACATTCGTCCTCGAATGAGGTTACTCTTACAAGGCTAAGGGTGTAACATCAATTCAAACACCCAACAAGAAATCATGCAACAACAACAACAACAACAACATGCCCACTATAATTTAAAAAGCACTAAGAAGGAAATTAATACCTTGATTTGCAGATTCAAAGAGATATGGATATCTCTTCTTCATGTCCTCTTCGGCTTCCCAAGTAGCTCCCTCAACAAATTAGTTCCTCCATAGCACCTTAACTGAGGCTATATCTTTCGTTCTCAACTTACGAACTTGACAATCCAAAATTTGAACAGGAACCTCCTCATAAGATAAGTTATCCTTGATCTTAATACTTTCAGTCGGTACGATCAATGAAGGATCGCCTATGCACTTCTTCAACATGGAGATGTGAAATACCGGATGGACCGCTACTAGCTCCTGTGGTAGCTCCAACTCATAAGCTACATTACCAACTCTCTTGACTATGCGATAAGGTCCAATATATCGGGGACTAAGTTTCCCCTTCTTACCAAACCTCATAACCCCCTTCATGGGTGAAACCTTCAAATAAACCCAATCATCTACTTCAAACTCTAACGCCCTTCTCCTAACATCAGTGTAAGATTTCTGACGACTCTGTGCCGTTTTTCAACCTCTCTTAAATCACTTTCACCTCTTTCCATAGCTTGGTGAACTAAATCTGGTCCTATCAACTGTGCTTCACCAACTTCAAACCATCCAATAGGAGATCTACATCTTCTCCCCATAAAGAGCTTCATATGGGGCCATCTGGATGCTAGAGTGATAACTGTTGTTGTAGGCAAACTCAATGAGAGGTTAGGTGATCATCCCAACTCCCTTTGAAATCGATTACATAAGCCCTCAACATATCCTCTAAGGTCTGAAAAGTACGCTCTGCTTGCCCATCAGTCTGAGGATGAAATGCAGTACTTAAGTTCACCCTTGAACCCAAACCTTTCTGAAAAGATTTCCAGAACTGTGCAGTAAACTGTGCACCTCTATCTGAAATAATGGAGATTGGCACTCCATGAAGTCTCACTATCTCTTGAATATACAACTTGGCATAATCTTCTGCCGAATGGGTAGTCTTTACCGGTAGAAAATGGGCTGACTTTGTCATTCTGTCGACAATCACCCAAATAGAATCATGCTGTCTGCGAGACCTTGGCAACCCTGTGATGAAATCCATATTGATCATCTCCCACTTCCATTCCGCAAGCTCTATATTCTGAGCCAAACCACCGGGTCTTTGGTGTTCAACTTTCACTTGTTGGCAATTTGGACACTTAGCAACAAACTC